TATATATATATATATATATATATATATATATTTTATATATATTTTTTCTTGTATTTTTCAATTCATATGCTTTTTATTATTATCTACTGTTGTACTGATAAATAACTCCTGGAGGGTAAACTATATCTTGGCTGCAAGTATCAAGCTGCGAAATCCTTCATTTTCTACTGCTGATAGTCATGGTCATTAATTATGGTGAAGTTTAGCAATTTCTCGGTAAACAGTTGAGCTCTGGGGCTTCAGCGGCGTGTTATTGTCGTTCAGTCCAGAAAAGGCAATCTGATTTCGGTCAGCTGCGCTCAGTCTGCTCCTCCTCCGAGATGGGCAGACTGAGCGGGTCAGACTGAGCGCGGCTGACCGAAATCAGATTGCCTTTTCTGGACTGAACAACAATAACACGCCGCTGAAGCCCCAGAGCTCCAATGTCCAATGTAAAACTAACTTTACGGCGGTTTAATGTGGTGCCATGGCTCTGCAGACATTGCACGTTGCTGTCTTGTTTTGTGGGGTTTCTAGTGTAAAATACTTCCACACAGCGGACATGTTTAGATGAAAAGTTGGTTAGCCATTAGCCACAGTGCTACAGCACGCTGTAGCTGAATGGATTTCTTGAATGTGAGGCTGGTCATATTACTCTGGGTTCATTAGACACGCCTCCGTTCAGTAAATCCATTCCATAGTTTGAAGCCAGCGTGCAGAGCAGCTGACAGGGAATCATATGTGGAGACGTTTTACTTGGAGACAGACATGCATCATGGATCGGAAATCTCTGCAGGTTGGATCAGAAAAATCTGATACGTAAATTTTGATGTAACGGAGCCCGATACGTAAATTATGGATCTGCCCCATCCCTAGTTCTATCATACTATAATTATGACTTAGTGGATGCTTGAGTGGTGCAGAAGGTGGAATCGCCCATAATTAATTGCGTCCTGGTGGCCGTTATTGCGCTGGGGTGTAACATCACAAAACACTCCATCCATCTGTTCCTGGCCCTTCGCTCCAATTTTAGAATTCAGTGTGGCCCGCGTGTCTAAAATTTGCCCACCCCTGGTCTACATCATCATCAACCTTGGTCTATACCGTCATCCTTGGTCTACTTCACCATGCCCTCCAGAGGACATCGTGGACACCAGTTGGAATACTTTTGTTATTTTTGTTTCCTTTTCTATGGATTGACTTTGTGGAATACCCTCAACTTATTGTTTCGTTCTGTGGATTTATCCATTGAACTTTGTGGAACATCCTCACTTCCTGTTTCATTCATGGAACTATCAACCGTGACTCTTTTGAACACTCCTAAAGCAAGGACGCTGTTAATTGCAATTCACCAACAAGGTACCCAAGTTGTAAATCGCAAGTGGGGGAATGTATCGTCCGTCCATCCATCCATCCATCCATCCATCCTCAAAGAAACAGTGCGTACTCAGAGACACCGCGTGCGTCTCTTACACTCCTCCCTTTTTGCTAATCTGAAGACAGATACTGGCATCCTGTTATGACACAGGAAGTTTCTTTGTTATCCTTTCTCTGTGTGTGTTACAATCTACAGCTTGGACCACCCTGACATTTTGTATGATTCTGGATCCCCTCCTTCTATTCTGAGTCAACAGACTTTGTGTCCCTTAAAAGATATCATCATCAAAGAACTCCACTTTGCCTTATCAACAGGGACTGATCGTCATAGCAATGAGGGAAGTTAACTTCAGTTGAACAAAGACTGAAAGACACCCCACTGTTTTACAGTATTTTGCTACAGTCAAACTTGCATTGTGTTCAAAGGAATGGCGTTTATGCAAGGTGTCAGTCCATTTTAACTAAGGGGTCATTGTGTATCTTCTCTGAGAACTTTGAGAAGGGAGGTATAATTACATTAATTATACAATTGGGATACACCCACTGTGAGAAGCTCTCTGATTGGTTAAAAGTTAAGGGGGCAAGTCTTCTGTGGTGTCAGGTAAACGGAACACCAGTAGTTGTAGAACGGCAGCCTCGGCAGCTGAGCTGAGCAGATGTAAAGAGTGGTTGTTTCCAGCAGCTGAGGGCAGTTGCTGAGACTCTCTGAGAAGCAGCCATGATGAAGAAGTGTCCTGGTGAAGAGATGGAGAGAAAGTCCTAAAACCTCAAACACTCTGGAGTAAAAGGTATGCGCCAAACGGACTGCAGCCCTGAGAAACGACATCCTTCTTGGGAATGCGGGCCACCAGCTTCCTTCATGCATCCGCATGAGTAATGGACGTCTTCCTGCCATAATCTTTATTGTCATAATTCAAACTGAAAATAAATGTTACAGAATTGTATTTAAATTACCAGATTCTTTGTGTTTTTCTTCGAGGGAGAGGAATTAATTTTGCTACAAGAACTCATGTAACAATATATATTTGTGGGGTGAGGCCAGTCCAGATTACGTTTAGCGTACACACATGTTAAAGGGTGTCCGGACAGAAGCCCTCTCCCTACACCGCAAAGACCATCCATTTTCTGGCTTTTTATTTCCATCAAAGCAAAGTTTCATTCAGTGTAAAAGGGACCGTGAAGTAGTGGCTTCTTGTATATACAAATTGAAAAATTGTAATGAAGTCTGTAATAAGCAGATCTAAGCTGAACACATTCACTAAGAGAAATGACCAACAGTAATCTATAAGCATCATTAACCAGTCCAGAGGAAGGCAAACAACCACACTGTGTTGCGCATGAACACTCACCAGTTCCATGAGGCCACACAGCTGTCCGATGGTCTCCGGCAGGCTCACCAGCTTGTTGTTGCTGGCGTTGAGGACTCTCAGAGGTAAACCACACAAGCAAGCCGGCAGAGAGCCAAGCTGATTCCGACTGCAACACAACACACATCTTTGATTCACCAACAAGGAGGAGACAAGGGAGACATTGGGACTATATGAGACCAGTTTATGTCACAACACAGGAAATACAAGAATGTTGTCGCTATTTATATTAAGATACAGCATAATGCAAATTCAACCGCAGCTTAATTCCGAAAATAGTCAACTATGATACAAAATGTATGTGTGTGTGTGTGTCTGTCTGTCTCTTAAATGAGCAATGTCAGAACAACACTAAAAGAGTAAATTTTAACACTGAACCAGGGTACATATGGTCCCGCCCTGTACAGTGTTAGTTACATTGCTCTCAGTGTTACATTTTCAGAGTTGATTTTACTCTGATTAGAGTTCAATTTAGTTGTAGAGTAAAATTTAATTAACACTCACAATTGTTAATATTCGTTTACTCTATGAGATAAATAACACTCAGTGTTATTTAAATATGACATTACTACTTTTTAAGTGTTATTATAAATCATCTCCTACAATATTTTCTTAATAAGTGTAAGATCTATGTAACACTCGCTGTTAATTAAATTTAACTCTAAACACTGTTAATCTGCAACTAATCCTGCCACTGAAAAAAAAAAATAATAATAATTATATACTGTTTTATATTAAATCTATTAATATTTCTTAACAGCCAAAACTCTGCAAAATGATTTGTAGGACACAACACATTATCTTACTCATCTTATAAATTTATTAACCTTCATACAAAAATAAAATACAAAGGCTTCTTTGCCATTTCAGTTTGACTAAGAAAAAAAAAACTTTTCTAAAACATGGTGAATTTACTGGAAGATATTTAACCATTACTCTAAGTCAGTGCTTCTCAATTATTTTCTGTTATTGCCCCCCCCCCCCCCCCCCCCCCCCAGCAGTAAACCTTTCATCCCCACCCCACCCCCCAAAACTCTCTGCGGCGACTGTAAATTGTTATAAGTACACCTCTGCCTAACATTGTGTCCTTTTTAACATTAAAGGAAAATAAAGAATATAGATCAACTTACAAGGAAGAATAACTTTATTAACATTGTTTTTTAGTCTGTAACAGAAACAACTTACAGTGCATCAATTTGCCTGAAAACAAAAAATTCCTTTTTTAAACTGTAAACATTTTTGACCATTTGATACTGAAAAATAAAATTAAATATAATCAATAAATAATAATAAATTAAAATTGATCCGCAACATTTTAACTCAGGAGTGTTAAATAAAACACTTTGGCCTACAAAACAAAAATGAATAAAACAATTTATGCTGATTTTTTAAAATCAAAATGAGGAAGTCAGGATCAATGAGCTCACTCATAGATAAAACTAAAAAATTGTCAACATGTAAGAAGAAAGAGGGGCAGGTAACCCTCTCGCTTTGAGTTACTCTTTGTCACCTGCGTGCTGTGAGTGACAAACGTCCAGAGCATCAAAAAACAGCAGCTTAACTGAGGAGGTGAATTTATTTTGTTAGCAAAGAATAGAGTCCTAACACTTATTAAACATTACTTCTGTAAATTGTGCTTTGACAAACTCACCGATAAAACTAAAACATTTAGTCAACACAAAAGAGGAAAGAGGGGGCAGGTGTCGCTCTCGCTTGAGTTTACTCTTTGTTGCATGCGCGCTGTGAGGGACGTCCAGAGCGCATGGACATAAAAACAGCAGCGGAGGATGGAGGAGGTGATGGTCCGAGTTTATTTATCATGTCAGCAGCAGAGGAGAGACATGGTTCATGCATGGCCCCCAAAATGACAAGGCAGCCATATTTGTTCATAACTTTATTATTGGGAACGCACGTGAAAAAATGAGAATGGTGGGGAAAAAAAAAAAAACTACTCCCTGCAGCCAAAAAAGCATGTTTTCTAGGGTCACATGCGCGCCCCCTGGCATTGCCCTGGGCCCCCCCAGGGGGGCGCGCCCCACTATTTGAGAAGGACTGCTGTAAGTGAAATATTTTTTGAAGACCTTGTCATCATTAGTGCCATTTTTATCAAAGGAAAAATATCCTTAACTGTATCAATCATAAAAGTGGTCAGTGACAATGTTAAAAGCACCCATTTTTAAGAGGGTCAATTAAAATTTGTTGCCACAAATTACACAAAAGCTTTTCAAATCAGAGCTTTAGAATTGGTCAATTACCAGTGACCAATTAGGAGTACCATATGTTGCTGTTGTTGCAGATAAAATTCTGCAGCCCCAGTTGAAAGTAATGTTGGCACTGGTTTGTGTTTGATATGCAGAGAGGTTAAAGATGGGTGACAAGTGTCAGAAGACAGATTTTGTCCTTTGAACCAATAATTAACTGCAACCACCAATATTTTGGAGTTAACATTTTACAATCATAACATTCGGAAGTGAAATACATAGAGGTGCAAAATTATCTCAAGATAAACACAAATGTGTTTCCAAAAAAGGTGACGGACACCACTCTAAGTGTAAATAAATTCCCACGTTTCCAACATCTATGTTGTAGATGGTTGTTTGCATGAAGACATACATGTTGTGCAGCATTTGATTATAAACAGTTCCAAATACAAAGTGAGCCTTAAAAAGTTAATCAAAAGCTCCAAGTGAGCTGGTTGACTTGCATGGTATGACCTGCTTGTCCAGAACAACAAAGAACTCGTGGCTGGTTCTCCTCTTTGTCCCAACAGCAAGTAGGTAGGGTTGCGTAGTGGAACTGATGGTATCAACATGGTCCTGGATGCTTGTTCCACTCTAAGTATAAAAATATGAAGAAAAAAAGGCAAATATTTGGGATTTAAAAATTTCAGTCAAAACTAACTGCTAGAAGCTTTTCCCATCAAGGTTCAAATCAACACCTAGCCAACATTCTCTGCCCCCCAAACATAATGCATGACAATAAAATGAATAATTTTGGTGCAATATATATTTTAAACCAGAATCCATTTCATATATGAAAATAATTATAGACAAAGAGGATTAAGGGAACAGATAAAAGATGGTGCAAAAATTAGCATACAGAGCAAACCTTCTGGAAGACCACATGGTGCTTCTCAGCCTGGGATGCAGAAACCTTGCCAGGTCTTTTGCGACCCTGACAAGAAGGAGGAATCAGGTGGAGCAAGAGAATGATGGAAGCAAGATCACTGTCCCAGCCTGTGTGAACAGAAATGACAGAGCGTGAAAATGAAGAAAAACTTGCAACTATAATAAAGTTATCCCTTTAAAGCCAAAACTTAAAATCCAATGGGAAATTAAATTAAATATAAAAGTATTTATTATCCCCAGTTACTATCAATATGTATTTTATAGAGAAAAGTTTAAGTTCTACCGGACATCATTTACCAGAGGTAATAGTCTCCTCCAGTTCCTCCTCACTTGGAGCTCCTTCAACACTGTAGATCAGTTCTTCAAGGTGTGTTGAGGCAGGAAGAGGCTCTGCTGGACAACTTTCTACTTGAAAACAGTCGGCCACCTAAAGTAAAAGGCATTCTATTAACTGAGCGCAGAAAACAATGAAGAAAAAAGTACTAATGAAAACATTTAAAATAATCAATGGAAACTAGTGGTGTAACGGTACACGTGGGAGTATTGAACAGTTTCGGTACAGCATGTTCGGTTCGGTCCAGGTGCGTACCATTTCGGTTGTTTTTTCACTAATTAAATTTTATTAACGAAAGATTATGAGTCGCAAAACTAAAGTTCCTACGTGTGTTTCAGCACGGTGCAATTATCTTGCAACACGCATAGCATTAGCAACCTAGCAGGCAACGAACAAGACATCTCGTTGCGGTCTCCTGTTTGGGAACATTACGGCTTTCTTGTTAAGTTAAAAGACAAGTGAACAAATCCAAAGCTGTGTGTCGACGTTGTTTCATGGAGACTGGATCTGCCGCAGGCAACACGTCTAACTTGTTAACGTTCTTGAAACGACGTCATCTGAATGTGAACGTAGTTTGGTTCAAACCGATAACAGCAGCATTTAAACAACCGTTATCAGGTAATTCAGATCGGTCCAAAGCAATAACACAAGATGTAGGAGGCTTTAAAGCTCTGGATCGACGTCAGAATGTTGTTGATGCACCGACTTTAAAGTTCTTGAGCCCCGCTGTCTCCGACATCCCATCACGTCAACACTTCAGCCAAAAAGTTGCAGCAGCACTTTATGTAAAAGCTAAAACTGATATTGTCAACAAGCCCGACCCCAGATTTAAAGCCCTGCCACATCGACGATGAGTGAGAGAGAATATTCAACCACCTCGTATGATGACCGTGCAACAAGAGGTATTATTGTATTATTGTGATGTAATTAACTTTTTTTAAATTTAAAATTATAATCTTATTAACTCAATTTGTTTTTATCTCTGTGTTGTTTGCAGTCTGAGGATGACAGCAGCCGAGTCTTCTTCATCCACCAGATCACCTCCAGCTAAGAAGTCTATAATGACTGAACTTGTTTACTTGGCATATTTTCAAAATAAACATTTTGTAAATCTTTATTTTAGCCTTTATTGTACAGAAAATTAACCGAACCAAGCCCTCCTTGAAACTGAACTGAACCGAAATGTGATGTTAGCGTACCGTTACACCCCTGCTGGAAACCATACACTACCTTGTGGACAAATTATATAAAATACAAAAATACAGACAAAAGTATTCCAATATAAAGCGAATGTTTGCAGTTTATGCAACCAATGGAAAAAATTATAAATGGGCATATTTGATGAAGATTTACTAAACCTATGAAGTGGATTAAAAAAAATCAATTTTGGCACTAACCTCTCCAAAAACCTGGAAGCAATATCTTCTCCAAATTCCAGAATGAAATCTTGGTCAATCTAAACATTTGGAAACAGTTTATTGCAACATGACACAAAACCAAATGATCTCCAGGACTTTATCTGAATGAAATCAATTCTCCAAATCAGCCCCTAAGTATATTTTACAAGTTCCTATCAACATTTGGAAGTGTAGTGACCAGTTAATGCAATATTTTGTCTAAAATGCCATCCTTATTTAACGCTAAATA